ATAAAGCGTTGAAGGTTGAAGAAAAATTTCATAAGCTTGAGTCAACAGTTCATTCATATTCGGCAACCTCACAACAGTACCCTTTTCAATCTTCAATTATTGATATTTCAAGTAAACGCTAATTTTGAGTAACCACATCTACTGTCATGAAAAAATCAATTTTAGCGAGTATAGTTCATATCAGCTCAAAATTCCAGTAAAATGCTCGTTAAAATTTGGATATATATTTGAAACGCCTTAATACTCGGTTACAACCACAATAATTTATTATTTACATTTTAGACTTTACATAACTTCTAAGAAAAAGCCTTTTGAATTCAGTCTTCCATTCATTTTACTTGTTAATTATTCTTGTCTTAATTCAAATTTTTGACAGGAGAAAACTCACCGCCATTAGCATCGGTCATTAGTTCAAGCATGATTTGGGACAAAAAAAATTAATTGCAGTGGATTTTTCTGAAAATTAGGGCTCAGTATGTTGTTAACTTATTCTCAAAATCCAATTCTTTGCTCAGAAGACATTCTGGAGCAAAATTTACGAGAAGTCTATATTCTATCTCTCTTCTTGTTCACCGGCATTTAAAAGTGGGTTATTATTCGACCTGACCCCTTAGATTGGCAGATTTCTAATTCGATAGAAATGTGTGAATGCATAATTTGAAATATTCATACCCCTGTTGCTACGTTTCATTTGTTTTAAATGTTGGCACTCACTACCGAGCAATGTCTTCTACAAATTTTAATTAAGTAAGCGAGCTTATGGTGAACATTTCAAAGTAAGATTCATTTAATGAAAGATAAAGTCTCTCCATTCATAAAAATAAGACAGATAAATGAAAGACCTCCCCAAATGGAGATCAAAAATTGATTCCCATGTCTCATTAAGTGCAATATGTTTTATGGAAATTTATTTATATCATCTCATAGGCTTTATGATAGTCGTCGCTTGCACTTTAGCTGCCTTCTGGCGGAGAACCATCAAATTCATAAAAGGTAGGTAGAGTAAAAAGAAAAGTGATTCACAGATGCAAAAGAGACAGACACAAAGGCTGAGTAGACGGTGAGGTGAGAACCGTGGTAGTGGTCGAATATGACATACAGTGGAGTCATGGTAGTTTGAAGTAAGAAGTCACCTGCCGGTTTATAGAATTTGTTGTCGTATGAGTATGCGTTGCCTAGGGGGCATCATGTGTATATAAGTCAATCGCTCACTCTGATTTAAAGAAATTACATCCACAAAAGCATTTAATCGGAAATTTATGCCAAGACTTTTAAGGAAGTCTCTTCACTGTCCTTGCAAAGCACAGTGTTTAGCTTCAGCTACGTGGAGTCATTTACCCACTAGCTGTCACAAGGCTACATTTGATTAGGGCACAAAGAGATTAGCTACCCGTGATAGCTTATTATCTGAACAAAGTAGCCGTTATCTGTTGAAATGCAACTTTCTTCATACTCTTGGAGAATTTTGAAATTCATAACCCCGCAGGACAGGTAGCTGTTTAAGATCCAAGTAAATGTCAAGAGCATCATAAGACAAAACTCCAAATAATCCAACAGAAGCGTCAAATTACGCCAGTGTAGTTATTTGCCTAATATTACTGCTAAAAAAGTGGCATGTAATGGCAATAGGCTCTAAAAGTGAACATTTTGACAACAGTCGATATTTATTTTGTCATATTCGGAAGTAGCTTACCACCACTACTACTACTTCCTGTTATTAATCGTGCAAAAAAAATCCAGCGAAAAGTAAAATTTGAAGGCATAATAAATTCGGCAAAGATGTCTCCGTTTTTCTAATTCTCTTTGAAAAGGTGAGCTTTCCCTACTACTTACAAAAATAATGCCTTTATCATGTACTGACACCAATCAGTCGAATTTAAAATTGACTCCAAGTGCAAAGGCTATTTGTGGTCATTTTTAGTAACAAGGCTTGTGGGAATTAAATTTCCACAAAGAACAACATCTATTCAAAAAAATGCCAAGATTAATTAAGTTATAGCACGTAAAGGAGTACAATAAAATGGGAAGAGGTGAATAGAAGAACCCAAAATAGTATTGATGTCCAGGGTCGAACCAGGATTCTTACGGGTCACCCTTGAAGGCTACTATTTACCTGAATTTTTTTAAAACGTGGTTGTCTGATTGACTGGTCTCTGTCCCTCTCCGAAATTCATGATCTTTCTGCAGCTTCGGTTATGGGCATTGCATTAATGATTGAGAATAATTTTATCAATCTAATTGAAGTTTTGTATGCAAATAAAGCAAAATTTTATTCAATGTACTTTTTCAAAACGATGATACCTTTGATGTATTTTACAACTGCGTTCAAATTCATTTGATGAGACCCGTAATTTGAAAGTAAATAAAAATCGGAGGGTAAAGGGGAGATGGCAGGTCTTTTACAATTTTTTTTGCCAATGAAGGTTGTTTTCAATTTGCGAGCCATATTTTATATACAACATCTACTCCTAATCTTGATACTACAAGAATCTCATAAAATTTCAAAGCTCAAGGCCAACTCTTTTAATGCTTCCTTCGTCGCCTCTTTTGCCAGCTGCTTTCTAACAGGTTCTTTAGTGTAAATTGCTCTACAGTTAGCCTGTAATGATTGAAGCGGCGTTAGTAACTAATTGGCTTTCATAAAAAAATTGTCATCAAACTAGCGAACAGTTATCGACCCAAAATGGAGATCTTATCTCCTAGTTTTTTTAAGACAACGTCGAATTGAATTTTGGATAAAAACGAAACTTTAAATTATCATTGCTCTCGCCTAGTATAATGCAAAGTCGATACTTGGTTGAGATGATTTTCTGCCAATAGAATGGAAAGAGATTAACACGACGTTTCAAATTATGCATATTTTGGGGGAAATTTCTTTGACTTTTTTAATATTTACTTCAGATTTCCTAATTAAATTTGCATTGTAATAGGGAAATAATAACTTATTTTCGTATTTTTTATTCGACTGTGCTGACAGGATTTTAATTGGCAAGTAAGGTACAGATGGTAAGTCCTCGAAGTTCTGGATGTATAGAATAAATAGAAAATGTTAGATCGATTTCTCTTTTGTTTAAAGTGAATTTTCAAACCCCGCCCCCCCCCCCGGGCCTAGCCCTTTTAAAAAGGTGATTAAAGATGTATTAGCAATATGCTAACTTCTGTTGATTACAAATTCCTCATAAACAAACCTTATTTACCTTGAACAGGGACACTTTCAAGAACAGAGGAGTTGACTTAATTTCCAACCAAGAATTTGTTTGAAAGAACTTCATCAATTTTTCTGCACTGATACAAGTCCCCTTTTGTATTGGTATGTTTGCCTACGCAACTTCATAAGTCATCTGTGCTTTATTTGCCTAGATTTGTGACAGTTTCTATTTACTGTTCTCTTATTTACAAGGTAATGACGTCATTTAGCTATCATCATCAAGTTGCTGTCAATAGTCTACAAATTCATTGCCAGTTTTACAATACCATATCATGTATACTCCATGTGTTACTTTACATTTCAATGGATCTACAATTTATCTTTTTAGCAATTTTGTCTTATTGGGAGTTTATGATACTTCAATTCCGTAAATTAGCTATATTTACGGATTGTAGACGAAACTGAAATAGACTTCCTCCAAACGAAATCCAAAGCAATTATAGTATTAATTAGCATAATTTTTTTGCATTGATAGAATTTGATGATAAAGATTAGTAGTATATAGAAATAAGTATTCAATAGAAAAAGTTGCTTTTAGATAAAATTCTTCACTAGGTCAATTTGGATCGGGAACTCGGGTGCGTTATTCTGAGCTAAGTATAGTCTAACTTGTGACTGCAATTCACCTAATTTTAGATGGGATGTAGTTAGTTCGTTCAATTGATCAAACCATGATATATGTGGGCGTAAAGATATAAAATTTTAAAATGTTATTTAATAAAATGTTAAGAAAGTAAAATGAAAATTTTTTACTTGAAGCCTATATATGCATTTTAGGTTTAGCTGTAAGTTTCCGTGGGAAGGAGTGGAGAGGGGTGGGGGGGGGGGGGTGTGAGGTACCTTTCATTGATTGTCCATTTTTTCATGGCTGCAGACCCTAGTATTTTCATTGAACTGTTTTCATTACCCGTTAAGGAATGGCGGAGTTGAAAGAATTGACGATATTATTACTTAGATTTACATTACTACTGAGCACCAAAACTCATGTAAGTTGAGGAAAACTACATTAGCTCGGATACTGATGAGTTTCTATTTCATTACTCTAAAGGGTGAAATAGAGTTCAAATCTTAAATCCAGCCCTCTGGTTGGTCAACCCGAGTTAGTAAGGTTGTGAGATTTCCTTTTAGAACCTAGAGAACTCATTTTAGGTCTGAACTTGGTAACATTAGAGTATAGCGCTATAATTAATGCGCATAATTTTTTAAAAAATGAGCACCATTATGCCCCAGTGAAACGTCTAAAATTAAATTTTCCTAAGGTCCTAACTTTTCATCCAGACGCTTCCATTTATTTCATAATGTGGCTAAAAAAGAAGGTCGAACTTAATTATAATTGAAATATTCACTTCACAGGTCAATTGAAATTCGATTCCACTTAAGCCATGGGTATGATATTTTTAAGTCTTTTTTGTGGATTTATTGAATGTCAATAAAATGTTTTTTCCTGCTGAAAAGAAATCAAGAACCAAGAGAGAGAGAGAGTTCAAGCTTTTTCCCTTAATATTTATCATTGAATGTCCATTTTGCACCATTGAAGCCACCAATATCATAATATGAATTAGTTTAGCTATATTGCCTTCTCTATTGTATTAAAATATAAGTAAATCACGTAATTTCTTTAAATTCTCTATATTTTGAGAAAATAAACCTTTAAAAAGCTACGCTTTTAAACGCACCACTCTTTTCGACTTGTCATTTAGGCGAATCTTCCATTCTTTACAGGTTAAAATGCTTCCTGCCTCCGCGTCAGTAATTTTGCCATCTAAATCCGGTTGATTGATGGGAAACAATCTTAAGAAATAGAAGAAATTCGCGTAAAGACTCGCCTTCGACTACTCGTTATGCCGTAAAGCATAGTTCTGAAGCTTTTACTCAACGTAATATGCATCAGTGGGGTTACAGCATGAACCGTCAGATGAGCTAACACAGTCCATTTACAGGGCGGAATAGCACGGTACACAGTAATAACTAGCGGTAACTCAAGAACATAGAAGACAGTTGTTCCTGCCCCCAGGATCATGCACTTCTGAATGTTTTTCTTCGTCACTTTTTGCCACAAACTCTGCTGGTAGGGCATTGAACGCGGTGTGATTTCGGTTATTTTGTAAACATTTTCTATTGCCGCGTGCATATGCCTTATAATGAACGCATACATGATTATTGTGCATATCCAAGTCAGCGCGTAAACGACGATTGGAAAGGTAAGTATCACACGATATCCAGTAATGGTTTTAAATATTATTTCATTGCTCACCCCGCTCTGCAAGCTGGAGACTAAGAAGGTGAGCTGGTTAAATATCATCGAAACCATCAAAAAGGACTGCACTACACAAATGCCTACTACGAATAAAAATGTTGCCCACAATGGTGATCGTCGAAGGGTAAAGGTGAGGGGAGACACGATACTGAAAAATTGAATTGTTGTGTTCACAAAGAAGAAGGCCGACATGAAGAGAATTTGAAGGACACTCCAGGTAGCGCAGATGATTATAAAATAGTTCTCAGCCATGACACTTGGTGACCAGCCACAAATAGTGATTACCGAAAGTGGAATAAGAAACAAACTTGCAAGTAGATTAAATACGGCAATAGCAAAAACGACATGACTGTATCGAAATTTGGCTTGACTGGATAGGGCATCGAAGTAACTGAAACGATTTTCTTGAGTTATCTCAACTTTGAAAGGATTTATGCTGAAGCGCTTTGTTGTACGTCTTCTTCGCTCCCCGCTTGTGAAAAAGTCACTTTCGCGTTGAAATCGTATACGGTAGAGAACATTTGCGGTAATAATGCAAAGGCTGGAAATGATTCCAGTTGCGGCTACTATCACGCAGATAGATGTAAAGATGGCCTTGTCAGTTGTGCTCAAACAAAGACTAAAAGCATCCAGAAAAGTTAGCGAACCTTGGTTAATGAAGACCTTTCTTATAAAAAGGTCAAAGTGATCCTGTGTATCAAATTTATGGCACCCCATGTTGGACAAGGGAACGGAATATTGATTTCGTCCACGTGGTATTAACGAACGCGGATTCATTTTTCTCCAAAATCGTTTGAATTAACAAATTAGTATGGTAGGTTATATGTACCGTTTTTTACAAAATTTAATATTATTTGGCAAATATTTTCCATAAATTTCATTAATATGTTATTAAAATAATAGCGACTTCACCGAATAGCTTAACAATTCAAGTAAAAGGAGATTGCTGCAAAGTTCTTTGATAGACATGCCAAATTTCACCATTTTTGTCGCTTTCTTAATGAAAATGTTTGTTTTTTTACATTTCAATTAGCAAAAATTTTATTGGCTTTAGGGTAGATAAAAAGAATTTCTGTGTAGGGACTAAAAGAGAATGGATATTTGTTTGAAGTTAAACGCAGTACTTCATTGTGTATATGAATAGATTATATAATTAAATTTCCTTGATAAAGCATACATTTTTGAAATTTGAAATGGAAACTGAGTAACTCAGCTCAGTGTTATGAAATGACTCGTCGATTCAGGCTAGGTTTAATAGCTCAAATTTAATCATTTCTAAAATAATTGCTGGATAAAATTGAGCATTTCAGTCGAAATAATGGAAAAACATTTCAAAGAAGAGTCAAAGCACCAATCCTGTATAATATTTTTTGTGAAAATGTTTAAACATTTGGTATAATGCACTAAAAACATGTGACGTTTACGGTGGAAGGCAAAAGAACATGAAAAAATTTGTTCGACTTCGTATCTATCCAAGAGTACAAAGTTTGGCATTATTAGAGGCTTCTACAGTTTATAATGTCAAGTGAACCGAATTTAATGCGTATGGTTCCATTAGTTGTCCACATTTGAATCAGCAATACTTAGGTCACAATTTATTTATTTATTTATTTCAAATGGCAGGTGTTTTGATAGTCATCATTAGCCCTTTGGCTGACTTCGGGCTTCACAGGGGGAAGGAACATCAAAGTAGAAGAAAGTCGAGGGGTGGGAAACAGAAGAGTGATCTACAGGTGTAAAGAGACAGTCACGAAGACAGAGAAAAGGTAGGTTGAGTAATGCGGAAGTGGTAGAATATGGCATACATTTGGGCCTTTTTGCCGTATGAGTATACGTTGCCCAGGGTGCACGTTTTTTGCCGTATGAGTATACGTTGCCCAAGGTGCACCACATTTTTGCTGTATGAGTATACGTTGCCCAGGGTGCACCCGGACTCTTTTGCCGTGTATACGTTGCCCAGGGTGCACCAGTTTGTTTGCCGTATGAGTATACGTTGCCCAGGGTGCACCACGTGATAGACTTACTTGCCGTATGAGTACACGTTGCCCAGGGTGCACCACGTGGTGCCTTATGAGTATACGTTGCCCAGGGTGCACCACGTGGAGCCGTATGAGTAAACGTTGCCCAGGGTGCACCACGTGGAGCCGTATGAGTATACGTTGCCCAGGGTGCACCACGTGCCGTTTGAGTATACGTTGTCCAGGGTGCACCACCTGGAGGTAAGTCTATCGTGAGTATACGTTGCCCAGGGTGCACCACGTGGAGGTCTCAATAATAAGTTCAATCCGACCTCAAATTCCGTTGACTGGTTCTCATTCACTTTTTCTCTCTCTCCCTCTCTCTCCTTTTTTTTAATTAGGAGTAATTTCCTCTTCTAAGTAAGAAATTCTCCTTCGGAGATTCTGGCATTTGCCTTCACTCTCTCTCACATAGGAATCGAGTCACACAGATTCTCCGTGCTTTGAATCCTCATCCATAGCATAGATGACGTGAAGCGAGAGATTTGACTCTTCTTCATGTGCTATACGCTGTTACGCCTATGCATAAAAAGAGTTCACTAATTTGGCACGCTAAACCAGGTGTACGAAAAGTCGGCTATGTTATCATATCTCAAATGTGAGCTTGAATTTCTATGCTTTGAAGAAATTAGAATCGAGTTCAATTGAATAATTTTCCTGGTTAAATAAAGCAGAATCATCTGGAGACTGAGCGATTTGGATCCTCATTAATTTTTAAGTTTCTAAATATTATTATTATTATTTCAAATGGTAGGCTTTGTGATATTTATAATTACCCCTTAAACTTTGACTTCAGCTTTCCCCATGGGTGGGGGGGGGGGGTACATTTATAGCAGTTAATTAATAGCAATTCATTAGCCGTCTTCCTGCTTCCCAGTATCTCTGGCTTTCCGTCGTTGTCTTTAGGAGTTAATAAATATTAATTCCTATAAAGGTAAATAAGTTTAGACCTAACCAAACTCTACGCTTTCAACAGTCTTTCTAAACAACTTTAAGAAATTTACATTATTGTTAAAAATTTAATTATTCTTCACTTAAACGTAGGTGAGTTGAAAGCGTTATTCGGCCTTTGAATACCTCTACCTCTACCAGTTGGACAAAAGGGGAATAGCATTATTTAGAATATTTGTTCATACAAGTGCGGTTAAATGGATATCTACAATGGTCACATTTAGCTTCATTTGTTTGAAATGATTTGAATATGTTTTTTTATGATTCTTAAAATAAAATAATAACATGCAGTAGCCCATTTGCACATATTTGTTGGGGTATTTCAATTGAGTGCACAATGAGGCAAATTAAAAAAGGCTTCCACAAATTAGCCAATTGTGCTTTTCGGTTCTCAAAATAGAAATCACCCGACAAAAAAAGGTATTTTAAAAATGATAATAATAATAACAATATAAATAGCCATAATAAAGACGTTTCAAATTTTAATAATGAAAAAAACAGCTATAATCGGTTGGAAACAAGTCCACTGAATTATTATGAGCATCAGATCAAAGCAGATCAAACTCTCAAAGAGTCTTGCTTCAACGAAAACTCCGTCCATATTAGGCAATATTTCCAAAACTGGAATTTCAGGATTATTCTCACAGGTTGTAGAAAATATTTATTTCCACTATGTTCAGTGCGTGGTAGGCTGGCTTTTAATCAGAAATTGTATGTCTCCTAGTATCGATCGTGTTCTCTTCACCAATGGTCAAGATGATATAGTATTCTTCATAGTATAATCGACAGCCTGCAGCTTCAGTGGAATATTTTTTGCATGCAAATCATCCATCTTTTGGTGGTTAATAAATAATTAATAAAGCTAGCATTCCCATATGCGCGCGTAAAAGACCAGACCTCCAGTGGGCTTTCCATTCAAGCATAATTGCGATTGGAGATATTGACATCTGCTCATATTCCCGTGAGGAATTACTTTTCCAAATTTATTGTGTACTTTCCAGTGGCAAATATTTATTGAAAAATCATTCTATTATTATTTAATTAGCAATTTGAAAGCTATCAACTGTACAGGAAAAATAGAAAATAAAAGTTTTGGTGGGTGGTCTTGAAATTTTTTGTGCTTGAGTTTGAACAGATGTGGAGTTTCCTAATGCTCTAAATTTTCACTCAGTGTCGGAAATTAAGAATCAGGGCAAAAATTGAATAATATTAATTAAATTACATAATAAGTCAACACTCAAGAGGTAGTATAACAAATTGGAGAACTTTAAAGTATCTGATTGCAGTTTCACTTCCCAATACTGGAGTCGCCTTGTTAAAGGTAACTATAAGGACACTAAACAACGAAATGTACTCTTTTGAGAATAAAGATAACCCATTGTTTCATAATCTCAAAGAGTAAAATTCCTTGTTACAATGACCTTTTCAACTCCATCTTGTTCTCTCATTCGGATTACAATTTCAAATATATTTGGATCTACCGTGGAGACTGCATGAAAAGTTAACCCCAGTGGAAAGGTTTGCATATGTTACCTCCTATCATTTAATTGTTAAAGTTATTATTATTTCAAATGGCAGGCTTTGTGATATTTCCCTTGCCGAAATGTTCGCTTCCATAATTGTGAATATGTCTACATCATAGGTTTGTAGGATTTTCTGTACTTGGATCTTTTTGTCCTGTGATATCCCTCCAGCATTCCACTGGAGGAACTGAAGACGTTGTGATTCGCCCTAACGAGGGCGATTTCTCTTATGGCCTTTTTCAAGCTAATCATAATACATCGAAGTCAAATCAAATGACGGGTGATAGACTTTTTTGCCGTACGAAGATACGTTGTCCAGG